GAGATTAAAAGTATAAAAAACTTACACAAAAAGTATATGAATAGACAATATTTTACAAAATTTATTTGTGAGTCTCACTTCTTAAAAATCCTATAATTCATTTATTTTTTGTATTATATTTTATGTATAGTTTTTGTACTTTTTTTATATAATTTTCTTTTTTTTTTAAATTTATTTTTAAAAAATAATAAGTAAATCATTTTCTATTTCAAACAATTTCATTTTTGTTTTTATTTTTTTTATTTTTTCTTAAAATAGTTTTAGTTTTGGGTAATTACTTACTCTTTTTCTATATATTGTAATTTTGTACATTTTAAGTGTATGATGTTTTCACTAATACACTTGGAGATGCATTATGAAAGAAGTATCATGCGAAAATCAAGCAAAAAGAAGAAAAATAAATAAAATAATACGATGAATGTGGAGCAAAGATCAAAGATCAAAACTCCCAAAACAAGTAAGCAAACAAACAAGCAAATAGAATAGAATGTTTAACAATAGATATTTGAAAATTTGCAACAAAAGTTTATAACTTTCATTTTTGCTAAAAAAATTCTATTTGGTAAGAGGGTAATTTTTGGGAAAAATTGGGCCGAGCTGCGAGTTGGGCATTGAGGCCCAAAACGCGAAGGACTAAGTAAGAAGGCTGCAATAGATACTCCGGCCCAGAAGGGCAAAGTTACTCCGGCCTTGGGAAGACAAAGTTACTTCGGCCCAAGGAGGTGAAATTACTTCGGCTCACGAAGGATAAAGTTACTTCGGTTAGAAGATTGTAAATGAACTTCGGTCTGGGAGCAACTTGAAGTTAGACCGGCCTTGAAGTTATACCGACCTTAGAGGTATACCGGTTTGAGAGTTATACCGGTCGAGTCGTTGGTTCGGTCCGAACACACCACGGTTCATGTATGAGAGAACCGAGATATGGTGTAGCATGAAGAAGAACCGAACAACTGTCAGTACGGCCTACTTTGTGGCTCGGCATAGCCATTTTTACTTCGGTCAAATGGAAGTTCGGCCATAAAGAGAACCATCCCACTTGGTTTAAGCAGTGGGGGAGGGTGTGAAAGGATAGGCATTATCCTTAAGAGTATGAATCCTAGGAGGACTCTGCATGGAGAAATACAAGTCCTACTAGGATTGTGCCATATGAAACTTATAAAAGCTCACAAGCATCACCTTGGAGGAGGTAATTGAACACAATCTTTCTGAGAACTTAGAGCTTTGTCTATTTGTCAAGTTTTCTGACTTAGGCATCGGAGAGGTTTCCGGCACACACCCGCCGGCTAGCTCACGTTTGTGTTTTCAGGTGACAAAGCGACGTCGTACGGAGGAGCGTGGATTTGGTCAACAGGATTATACGAGGAGAATTATTTCCTCCCCGTACAATTTGGTACTAGCTAAATAAACAATTGCGATTGGTAACTCGAAAATCATAAGGCTCGAATGACCCGACTTCTTTATACACTCATTTCTTTGTACAACCCATCTCAGTTTTGACCCACACATTTCATTTGAAATTTAAAAAAAAAAAGAAAAAGAAAAGAACAGAGTAGAGAGAAAGAAGAGAGAAAAGAGGAGAGATAGCAATCAGGGCAAGCAAGATGAATCCAAAAGAGGGTAAACCCAAAACCCTTATCCTATCTCTTCAAAATCCTCTCGTAAAATTTTCATTTCACTTTTCTATCTCTAAAAGTTCTTCTTGGTTTCAATCTCTCCTTTCATTTATTCTCCCATCATCCTTTTCTCTGCTTATACTTCTCTCTCTCTCTCTAACTTCATAAACCATTGTCTTCATCATCATTATCATTGGATTCACTGAATTTATCTGTAATCTTACTATTATTAATTAGTAATTATATCTGAAATGGGTTTTTGAATTTGCCTCCAAAGAATCCTCATTCATAGAAAAAACAAGAAAAAGAAAGAAAGAAGAAGAAATAAGGAAAAAAAAAGAAAGAGAAATGGCTCCAAAGTGAAGTAGAGCAAAGGGCAACAAACTAAGACAGAGAAAAAGAAGAAAGAAGAGAAAGGCTCGTCCTCCGTCGTGGTTCGTTTTCCTCTGGCATTCTCAGTCCGTTGTTCTCCTCTATCAGTCGTATGATTCTCCATCGTTTTCTTCTATCACAGAGATGAGAGGGATGAAAGAGAGAGTGGGTTTCATAGAGATGAGAGGGATAGAGAGAGAGAGATATTTTGCTTTTTCCTTATATAGAGATAGGGAGGAGAGAGAAAATATTGGCTTTCGGGCCATTTTCGAGTCACCCCTTTCAAGCTACGAAACAATAATCCTAAATAAAATGCTTTTAAAATAGTTTTTTTTTTCCAATTTCGCTAGGTAGCCTGAATCCTTCGAGGCTCGAATGGCTCGAGGTGCCAAAACGACGTCGTTTTGGTATCTTTTTTTTTTCCCCCCTTTCTTCCTCCTCTGTCTGTATCTGTTCTTCCTCTGTTTTTTGTTTCTTTTCTTTTCTTCTTCGACAGAATCAAAAAAAAGAGAGAGGAAAGGAAGGGTACAAATCAAAACCAATACAAATCAACCTTTTTTCTTCTTCTTTTGTCTGTATCTATTCTTCCTCAGGTTTTTTTTTTCTTCTTCTTTTCTTCTTCCACATAATCAATAAAAGAGAGGAGAGAAAAATCAAAAAATAAAAAAATAAAAAAAATTAAACCCAATACAAAGCAACCCCAAAAATCCCAAAAATCAAACCCAAAAATCAAAATAAAAATCAAACCCACAAATGAGAGAGAGAGATACACAGAACAGAGAGAGAGAGAGAGAGAGAGAGAGAGGGAGAGAAATACAGATCAATAGATTTGTGTGTAGAGGATGGCCGATGATGGCGAGGATGGCCGGTGGTGGCGTCGGTGATAGCGCTTCTCTCTTCCTTTGTTCTCCCTTCCCTCTCTTCTTCTCTCTTCCTTTCTCTTCTCTCTTTCTCTCTTCCTTCCTCTATTTCACAGATAAAAGAGAGGAGAAAAAAAAAAAAAAAATCAAAATGACGTTGTTTTAAATTCGGGCCAATCGAGCCTCAACATTTTCGAGCTCTGAAGCATTTTTGTTTGTTTGTGTTTTTTTTTAATTTTGAAATTAAAACTATAGTAAATTTATGTAAGCATAATTGCTAATCACATATTTTTTACTGAATGTATAATATTATATTGACTACATTTTTCAAGTTTATTTTTTAAAATATTTATATAGAAGTAAAAAAATATCGTTAGGAATAAATTTTTCCTTAATTAAGTTATAATATTTGCCCGTACATTGTTTTTAAATTTTAAATAAAAGAAAAAATAAAATAATTGATTGAAAATATGTTGTATTTGTTATATTCTTTTTTCTGTATGGAAAAAAAAAATAAAAGTTACAAGAAAACATAAAATAATTGATTGAAGATATGTTGTATTTTTATTTTTATTTTTAAAAAAAAACATTTAAAAATTATAATTTACATATATACAAATAATTATAAATAAAAGAGAACGTGAAAAAGAAATAGAGGAAACCAAGTCTACCACTAAACTGAATTCTAGTAACTAATTAAATAAATATATAATACTTATTTTTATGTATTCATTTACTAACATAAAACCCGTGCTATAGCACGGCCTTGAACAAATAACTAATTTTTTTTTGAAAAAAAAATTAAATAGTAACAATTTTAAATGAAATCATACAAATTAAGTTGTTTTTATCTAAATTGCACTAAAATAATGTTTTAATGTGTTGTTATTTGTGTTTTATTTAAGTATTAATTAACATATATATGCGTCATGACATGATCAGTAGATATTAGAGTAAAAAATTTATTTGATTGAATTATAAAAGTTACACTTAGGAGATAAGTATATATTGGTTCATGCTAAATTTTTTGAATGATATAAGAACCTAAAGTTGTCAATTTATAATTACATATTGAAACTCAATGAAAATTTGTTAAAATTGAAAACAAACTGGAGAATACTCGAATAAGCTTAACTTATTTATCTCTATTTAAATTATATAATAAATATATTATTTATATATTAAATAATATTAATAATATTTTTATTTGAATAATTTTATTTAAATTTATATATATAATATTTAAAAAAATCTTATTGAGCCAAGACGAGTTAAGCCAAGTTCGAGTTTCATTAATATTAAGAAACTGAGCCGAACTCGAGTTCAGTTACTTATTTAGCCGAGTTCGAGCTCGATAAGTAAACGAGCTGAGCTCAAAACTCAACTGGCTCGACTCTGCTCATTTGCAACTCTAATAACACTAATACAGAATGCAAATATGCAATACAGTAATGCTAGGGGACCACAAATTCTATGGTTCAAATGGCCCAAAACTGTCAAAACGACGTCGTTTTGGATGCAAAACAAGTCAAAACGACGTCGTTTTGACAGTTTCGGACCATTTAAGTCATAGAATTTGTGGTCACCAAACATTTTCCTATGCAATATATGTACAGTACAAGTGACAAATATACACAATTTTATAGCACACGCTTATTTTCCTAGATTTTTCGTGCAAGAGCTAGATGACAAAAATAATTCCATCATAAGTCACTGAAAAAAAAAGGTTGGGAGCTTCCACTGGACTTTCATTTTACAGTAATAACATATTTAAATCAATTAAGATAAAGATGAGATGACCCCCAAATCAAACACGTTTCAACGCGGATTCGCGTTTCCAAATCCTAGTACTAGTACTTGTATTCTTGCAGTAGTAGTGCCCAAACCAAACCCAATTCAACAGGTGTTTCTTTTTGACCACTCTTCCCCCACACACTTTCTAATACTCTCTCTACCAATTACAAAATTTTAATTATTAACTTTTAACTTAACTAAACTACACATACAAAGTACCCTCCTAATAAAAACAAAACAAACATTATTCACTTACACCACCGCCTCTTCTCCAAAAATATATATCAACCCACATCCCCAATATCTTCTATATCATTCTAGTCCAACACAAAACCCTCTCTCTCTCTCTCTCTCTCTCTCTAATGGCTGAGTTTCAAATAGCCAAATCAATGGCAGAGGTTCTCTACAAACTACAACACTCCTCCAACTATGATCATGATGATGATGATGAATGTGATTATGATCAGTATAGAAGAAGAAGAAGGGTCTCAACAAAACTTAGCAGTGAAGAACTAGACTTGGCAAGGCTAACCGGGATGACAGCGGAGTTAGCTATGTCGAGGGCTAGAGAGGCGAACCGGGACTTCAAGACGGTGATGGCGGAGACGGAGTTCAGGGTTTCGATTGAATTGGCGAGGATTTTAGCGTCGACGATTGATCCGGTGCTTCAAGGGTTGAGGAAGGTGAAGGTGGAGGAAGAAGGAGAAGTTTGTGGAGTGTGTCAAGATGATATGGAAGTGGGTGATGATGAGGCTAGAGCAATGGGTTGTATGCATAAGTTTCATGGTCATTGTATTTTCAAGTGGCTTAAGCACAAGAACGTTTGTCCTCTATGTAGACATCCTACTATGTGAAGAGGGCATGCACTAACAAAGTTGAGAGGATTTCAAGAATTGAGAGTGAGTTCATAGAGACATAGAATACTAGTGTTTCTAGTTTTGTCAAAGATACTAGACTTGTTTTACTTCATATCATTCTTTAGAGATTTGTTTTGTACATCATTCTAATTCTTTTTCTTTTTTTTCTTTTTTTTATGTAATTAAAGAAGTATTAATAGATATTGATTTATTTATTCATTGTTTTCCCCTGATTTTGATGTGCTTGTTCAAAAAACTGTGTCACATGCTTTGTGTTTTGGATTGGTGTATAACTAATCTACCAAATTTTTTTTCTTTTTTTCTTTTTTTTTAATTTTTTTTTTATGGCTGTTCAAAAATAAAAATAAAAATAAAAATAACCCAGCTTTGTTAGATAATTTAAAAGAATAATGGATATGCTACAATTTTTTAATTGTGGAAAACACATTACTTCAAAATTATCTAATAATTTTCTTCAAATATTTCTTTTAAGTTATGGGTTTGGGCAAAGGTCTTATATAGGGAAGGTTGTATAAGAGAGCAGGGTTAAATAATATTGAATATATATATATATATAATAATAAAATAATAAAAAAGGTAGTTATTATAAGCCTACTTTTATTGACTTGGTTCTATGGATATTGATTGAGCATGTGGGTGCTAATCAGGTGTGCCCATCTTATGACAACAGAGAGAGGCCCATTGTAACCATGTTCATCACAGTTCACTGGATTTACATGATACATGCATACGAATCCACAGACTACTCAGCCGCCATTTTTTGACCTCAAAGATCACTGGTTTTTTTATTTTTTTATTTTATATTTTTATGGCAAGCATTAATAATCATTGTTGTATTTTTATGGCATGGGGAATTTTACAATATGACAACCCTACCAGTTTCAGGGTTTCTATTTGCGCACCTCATATTCTCTCCCTTCACATCATTACTCAATTCGCAAACATAAATTATTTTTTCACCCCTCAATTCACACTACCTAATTTTTATAATATTTTCATTTTCAACTTCCAACCGTTAACTCTTGATTCGGCTTTGAAGTAAATCAAAACCAAACCAATATCTACCATTTTATAAAATTTGAAACTAAATTGAAGTATAAAAATCTTAGAACCAAATCAAACTAAACTAGAAAAACGCGGTTTAATTCGAATTGAAATCATAGTTTTCATCAACTTTATTATTATTCACAATATAATCACATCTTGCTCAAAGATTAATGTATATCATCATTTTACAAATAAAATTATTTAAATAACTATTTAGAACTAGTTATATGATTATACAAGAACACATTCATCGGCAAATGGCTAATAACTTATGAATATATATAAAATAATTGAGTGTCTACCACAAATAACAAATTATATATCCGTATAAATTAAACGGTCTAATCCAGATTTAAACCAAAACCGTAACTATAAAATCATGGATCAAACCATGAAATACGATTCACCTATTTCACGAACCAGGATTGAACCATGCAATGAGAAAATCAAACTAAACAGTGTAATTTAGTTTGGATCAAATCGGTTAGCAATATTTTCACTCAGCCCTAGGTGGGGGAAGGTGGTGTAAAGAGTATGGGTCACTGGCTGGTGGGTTGGGGAGTTCTGGTCACAGTGGTGGGGGTTTGGTGGGAGGTGGAGGTGGCACTAGCAGCAACTAGCAAAAGCTAGGGTTTGGAGCAAGGGGTGTGCATATGTCCTACATTGCAATTTGTTTGAGGAGAGAAAATCATAATTTTAAATAATAAAAAAATCAGAAAACCGGCTTGGAGCGAAAAAAAGTCAAGTCTGCAAATAGAAGCTCCAATAAGTTCCCTCTGTTTTGCCGTTTTCTTGCAAGACAACAGCTCACATGAAGAAGAAATGCACATGTCAATTTATGTCTAACAATCACATGCAGCACATGCAGTTGAGATTTTACAACCAAACTTCAAAAACATTATCAATTCATTTTTCTTTTATCATCCTCGGCAAGATTCAAAAAAATAAAAATAAAAACAGCTATGTACAAAATTGATACAGGTAAGCACTGAAGAGGGCAAACAAACTGGTTGCAAACAATTAACTGAAGCATCTATGCTGCCACTTAAAATCTTCCTAACAGTGCTTCCTGCTTCTGGAATGTAAAGCATATTGTGTTGAACTGTACAACCTAAGAACATGACATGTTTCAGGATCTTCACTCTCTCCGTCATAGACGATCTTCTGAAACCCGTTTCAACTTTTCCCCATCCGCTGCTGATTCTCAATCCACAGAAGAACCAGTTTCTGCAGTTTCATCCTCACTGAAACTAGATGGGATCTCCACTGCAGATCTAAAGAATGTACCATACAGTGTCGGCAAGTAGTTATGTATAGTCAGTTTATATATATATATAATACAGAGAGAAAACAAAACCACAAAAATGATCATAGAAAAACTCAGCATTCTTGCACCACATGGAAACTGATATTGTGTTCATACTAAAAAAACCTGTTAGTATAAATGGTCTGCCAAAGTTTTACTAAAAAAATGGGCTTAGTTTTGTGAAAGTCACGAGAGAACAAATAGTCACATAAGCAGTAGCAAAAAGATCTAGAGAAAAGAGAATTTCTATGAAAAGTCCAAAGCAGCATTTAAATTCGGGATATATATAAACTAACCTTTTCATCTGATTTGTCCACAGTGGTGTCTCTGCCATTGAAGCTTTCCTTGCAGACTGTTGCTGTGGAAACTCATTCCGGTCCCTCTTGGCAACCTTCAAATATTAAGGAACAACATGTGGTCCAAAATCAAACACTCTCTTAATAAGTTAAAAACAGTGTCATTTCATATTTTGGATGAATGACTCTTGCCGAATTGCAATACTCAGTTATCACTCTCCTTAGTTACAAACTATGAAGCACATACGCCTCTCTGGAGGTCACGTACCGGTGTCTGACATGCTGGAAAGAGTTGGACACGCTGCGGACATGTTGGGACACATTGTGGACATGCAATGTCCCATTTTTTTAATTTATTATTTTTTTTAAAACCAAAATAGCATGCCCAAAGTTAATGAATTTGATGAGAATAAATATATAATATTAAAAATATGATATATGATAAATATATAAAATTATTATACGTTTTGCACGTGTCCTGCATTTTTTTGAAAAATATGAGTGTCCGTGTATCCGTGTCATGCAATGTGTCTGTGTCTATACTTTTTAGGTTACAAAAGAGAGAATTTTGCAATTGGAACTTCAAGATCATAAAACAGATTATCAGAAAAACAAAAAAGTTTAGATTAGACCTTGGTCATCCTTCTCGAAAGCCCTCTATCCTCCATATCAAGAGATTCACTGTGCTTGAGTGTTACATTTGAATATTTAGATTCCAAGTGTTCTCTCTGGGAATCCTCAAGGTTGACATCATCAGAGTTGTACAACCAAGGCTCCGTTTGTCCACCAGTAACTTTTCGGCCATAGGGATGCCCACGATGGCTAGAACCAGAATCGATTCTCCTCCCTTCAACATCATACTTGGCCCTCATCTTACAAAGCTTGTTACTTTCATAAACTGGCATTCCACCAGCAGAACCTTCATCCATTTCTATTGATTTCCGGCTGGGAAAAAGATTACTGTGATTGGGTAAAAGAGGTTGCTTTGGTTTGGATTGGTGGCCAAAACAATTTTCACGATGATCTGAGCCACCCATCATTTTGAAGCCAGTTCCATCCAAATCTGAGTCATGTGAGCTCATCTTGGAATTGTATGCTTCGTGCCTCTGCTTAGGCTTAAAAAGGAACAAGAATATATAACTAATCAAATTTAGATTGGAAGCAAATAAAAAAGGGAGATAGATAAAATGACAATACGAGCGTCAGAACAAAGGTAAATTTGAAAGTGATTGACAACTAATAGAAAATTCAACAAGAAATTGAATTTGCATCGTATCCATAATTTCACTTCAAATTAAGCAAAATGTCAATCTAAAGAAATTTATTTTCAATTGATGTCAAAAAATTTGAAGTTCAAAATTGTAGCAATCTTGCAAAACCACATGTTCCGTAAATGCAAAAAAAATATCTAATATATTCTTCCAAAGTTTCTATCTGTTTCACCGTGTCAGAATTAAGCCCATGCATGGTGTCATCTTTCTCTACCTTCATTTATTTAATGATATAGAAAATCCAATGCAACACGACATGTGATGTCAAGCATCAAAAGAGTATGCCGTTTCATTTTAAGAATATGTGGCTACTATCTGAGGGTCTTAAAGAATGGGTGAAGGGCTGGTGGGATAGTTATACTGTCTCAGGCTTGCCGAGTTGTCGTCTAGCACAAAAATTGAAACTTCTCAAGGCCAATTTGAAGTGGTGGAATAGGGAAGTGTTTGGGCACCTGGAGGTCCAGAAGGCCACTGTGCTAGCTATGTTGCAAGAGTTGGATGAGATGGAGACTGCGGGGGGCTTGTCTGCAGAGGATTTGGGTCGTCGAGATGGGGTTCGAAAGGAGTTTGGCCAGGTTGCCCGTATGGAGGAAATCAGCTTTCGGCAGAAATCCAAATGCTTGTGGCAGAAGGATGGGGATAGCAATACAAAGTTCTTCCATCGTATCGCAAATGCCCATCGAACGGTGAATCAGATAGGTAGAATGCGAGTGGTGTGAAGTTGTCATCTCCTAAGGAGATTAAGGCAGGAATTGTGGGCTTCTATGAGCATTTATTTCAGGATGAGGGGGAGGTGTGGAGACCAGGCCTGAATGGAGTTGTGTTTGATGTTATTTCAGAGGCGGACAGTTGTCTGCTGGAACGGTCTTTTGTAGAAGACGAGGTGCTTGAGGCTTTGCGGAGTATGCTTGGTGATAAGGTGCCGCGACCAGACGGCTTCTCAATAGCCTTTTTCCAGCAGTGCTGGGGGGTGGTGAAGGCAAATGTGATGGCCTTGTTTGAGCAGTTTCATCAGGCAAGGGAGTTTGAGTGGAGCCTCAATGCTTTTAGGTAGTGTGTATTTTCGACCCAAAGAAGGGTGGGGCAAAGGATATTCGGGATTTTCGACCTATCATTCTTTTAGGTAGTGTGTATAAGCTATTGGCAAAGGTGTTGGCGAATCGGTTATGGGGTGTGTTGTAAGGGGTGGTTTCCGAATCTCAGAATGCTTTTGTAGGTGGGTGGCAAATCCTGGATGCGGTCCTAGTGGCGAATGAATGTGCGGATTCCAGGATCTAGCAGGAGAAAGAGGAGCTCATTTGCAAACTTGACATAGAGAAGGCATATGATAATGTCAGTTGGAGGTTTTTATTGTATATGTTGAACAGATTAGGTTTTGGGGATTAATGGAGGAGGTGAATTCAATTCGGTATATCTACGGTGCAGACGTCGGTCCTTGTTAATGGGTCTCCAGCGGGATTCTTTCTTACTTACAGAGGTTTATGGCAAGGTGATCCTTCGTCTCCTTTGTTGTTCATTCTGGTGATGGAGGGTTTGGGGCATTTGTTATCTAGAGCGGTGCAAGGAGGCCTGTTGCAGGGTTTCGAGGTGGAGGTGGATCCAACAGGCCTAATGGTTTCCCATTTGTTTTATACGAATGATGCGCTTATTTTTTGTGATGCGGATGTTGATCAGATTGGGCACTTAAGATGCGTATTGTTGTGTTTTGAGGTAGTTTCCGGCCTTCGGGTGAACCTAACAAAGTCGAAACTGATCCCAGTGGGTCAGTTGGAGAGGACTCCAGTGTTGGCTGCTTTTTTGGGATGTAAGGTGGCATCTCTGCTAGTTTCATATCTTTCAAGGCGAAGGGTGTATGAGTTGGGGTGGTGAACATGTGCAGCGGCGGTTGGCTGGATGGAAGCGGCAACATTTATCAAAAGAGGGCAGAATCACGTTGATTAAAATTGTCTTATCCAACATTCCGACTTACTTTATGTCCACTCATGTGATCTCTGTGTCAGTGGCAAAGCGGATTGAGAAGTTGCAAAGGGATTTCCTGTGGGGTAATGAGGGGGTAGGTTCTTATCATTTGGTGGCTTGGGATCAAATTTATAGTCCCAAGGTCAATGGGGGTTTGGGGATTCGGAGGTTAGTCTTATTTAATGTGACTTTGCTGGGGAAGTGGTTGTGGCATTTTGTAGAGGAGGGGCATCGACTTTGGAGGACAGTGGTGGTTGCGAAGTTTGGGGAAGGGATGGAAGGGTGGTGTTCAGATCGGGTAGGGCAGTTGCATGGCCATGGTCTTTGGAAGGGGATTTGGTTGGGTTGGAAGGAGTTTTGGAGGAGGGTAAAGCTGAAGGTAGGAGTGGGGGATACAGTTAGGTTTTGACGGGATAGGTGGTGTGGTGACCTTCCTTTAGAAGTGCGGTTCCCTTTAATTTTTGGTATTGCCGTTGATAGTGAGGTGTTGGTGAGTGCTGTGAGGTCTAGGCATGGGGACTCGACTGTTTGAAATGTGTGTTTACACCACGATATACAAAATTAGGAACAAGATCAGTTGGTGGAGCTGTTGGACTTTTTATATGAGTTGCAAGTTAAGGAGGTTGGGTAGGATTCTTTGGTGTGGGATTGTCCTGCGACTGAGGGAAAATTTTATGTATCTTTGTATTATGGTGTGCTTGTTTATGGGGAGACTGTTGTTTTCCCTTGGAAATGTGTTTGGGTGTCGGGTACACCATCCAAGGTGGCTTTTTTTGTGTGGACGGCCACGTTGGGACGTATCTTGACTTTGGATAATTTAATTCGTCGTGGCCACATGTTGGTCAATTGGTGTTGCTTGTGTTGTGGAGATGCGGAATCGGTAGATCATTTGCCGGTTCATTGTCTGGTTACTTCTCGACTTTGGATACTTCTTGTTGCAACTTTTGGCTTGGCTTGGGTACAGCCAGATTCAGTTAAGGCAGCTTTGCAAAGTTGGGTTGGGGGTCGAGTTGGGAGGAGGTGTCAAAAGGCGTGGATGCTTGCTTCTCATTGTCTTGTATGGTTGGTTTGGTTGGAGCGTAATAGCCATGTTTTCCAGGGAGTGTCTCATTCGGTTCCTTGGTTAGAACGACAGCTGCTGATAGTTTTGTATAGTTGCGTTTCAAGTTTGGTTGATCCTGATGTTTTGGCTTTTATAGATTTTGTAGAGGATTTGATTTGTTAATACGTTAAGCCTTTGTGGCTTCCATTTTTTTATTCTTTGCATCATCTTGATGCTTTTTCTGTAAAGTGTGGTTATTTATCAACAAAAAAAAAAGAGTATTGAACAACCCAACTACTCAAGTCTGAATTTTTGTAATCTTCAAGAAGAGAAATAAATGGACAAGCAATCTCTCTTTTTACAACCTCATTGATAACATAAGATGTGTAGTAAACATGTTTTAGGACAATCATATCACTATATTAGCCCAAAACAGAAGAAGACACTATTACAATCTTCACTTACCATGCCAGAATTAGGTTGGTTGCAGATTCTGGGAACATCCGGTGAGTGGCGCAGATCAGGATCACCGACGTAGTAAGGTTCTGCCAAGGAGTTCACAAGGAAACAGGTAAGACTACCAACACAACTATCTGAATCCTAGAAACCATCAACCTTTTAGATTAGAATGAGGACATATGTATATTCAGAGAAGGTTACATCATGGTCAAGAAAAGAAAGAGACAATTTTCCACAATTCAACCAAAGGAAGTGTGGCCTCATACAAAATTGTGGTAATTAGTAAGCTCATAACAAATTGAAAACCAGAATAGATGCCAAACAATGGTTCACCAATAAGAATGGACAGAAGGAAATCAAACATATAGAATAGTTTGTAAAATCAAATACAATAGTTCATCCTAACTAAAAAACAAGAACCCATAATTCTGTGAGGAGTTCAATGGAATTGACACACATTTTAGTTTTAGAAATCAAATCACAACTCATCAATCTCCCAGAATCAGATAAACTACATGGAAAGTTAACGAAATTGAATGAAGACTGGAACGTGTTTTTTCGTGAACTGGTCATCATAAAAATAAGAAGAATTGATTCCAGATTTTAAATGTCATTGATGTTTCAGTGCTCAAGCAGGAACCCAATACATCCACACAAAAGTTGTACCTAAAAATAAGATTGGATAATTACAAGTACATCTGTGTTCAAGCAGGTACCTTACATCCACATGAAAGTTGTTGTAGCTATAAACAGAAATGGGTCACTATAAGAAGAGATAATCAAAGAAAACAACTAATTCACCATGATTTCATAGCAGGCAGTTCATTTCTATGTTCTCCTGCTCCATAAACTCCCTCCAATATTTCTTACACTAAAAAATTCCCATAAGCCTGTCAAACCATTAAACATCACCTATATTATCATTATTTCCTCACTTGCTCCCAATAATTCCAAAGGAATTGAGTTTGCGGGATACCATTTTAAAACATTAAACATGATGACATATAATTGGAGGAATCATTAACAAATCCAGGTGAAACTTCATAATCATGAGAGATCAGTCTTTACTTTTTACAGAAAAAAATATCTATAATTGTTGTAGTAAACCTGAATAATTATTCCATTGTCTTCAACCAATAGTCAAATCACAACAAAAAAAAATTTTTTTTTTCCCCCCTTGGTTTTGCACACAACTGCACCTAATCAAACCCTGCAATAACCACATCACAAAATACAAACACTACCATTCTCTACAAAATAGTGGGGAAACAAAATAAAAAAATAAAGGTTCAAACAGAGATTTTCAGGAACCACTCACAGTTCATATTCCCAATGGCAAACCCACCATCTGACACATTTTATTCATTCTGGCTTGTTTACTACTCATATCCACATTATGTGGCAAACCAAGCAATGTAAAGAGTATGTAAATCTAAAAGCCATCTCCTAGAATTGGGTGTAGCTAGCAGACCAAACAACAAGATTTACCAGAAAAAATTGCAAGGAAAAAAAAAAAACACCTCACAAAAACTACATGGAAGCAACAGATAAACTGGTGCAAGATTCAAAATTGTAATTAAGCACCATAACTCATTACTGAAAGGGTCTGGGGTATGAAACTGCCTATAACTGTTGTCATAATTCACTAAAAGATATATTTTTAATATAAGGAGAGACAGAATACCGACTTACCATCAACTGGATCCTTAATTGAAGACTCAAATGCACCTGGGGGAAGCAAGTCAAATTCAACACCAAGCAGTGGGCCATCCTCCCGATAATGCATCCCCAGTTGCCTCTTAACAGCAGTAATCGCAGTGTTTTCAACCGGACCCTTCACTTTCAAATATCCGGATGGCCCAGTTCTGGTTCTTATGCCCATTGAATTTATTGGTGTAATGTTTTCATTCTGTGATACGTATCTGGAAGTTGCCCTATCCAAAGGATCCACATTTTGAGGATGAATCATATGCTGTAAAGGCAAGCTACTTTCTGAAGATGTATCATCCATTTCACTCGAATTTTCATTAGGATGATGTCCATGCTCATATGCAAGGTCAGCAGCTGAGAAATCTTGACCACTTAACCTTCTACTTTCTACCTCCTTAGGATCAAAATGTCTGTTATTCCCCGGTTTTGTGCTGCCACATGAATCCTGCCTATGTCCACTACCACGGTCCTGTACAATACCACTTGAACGATCTTGTCTTCCATTTACAGCCGCTTCACCATACCATGATTTCTTGTCCTTTAACCTTCTGTGGCAAAACCACCCAGAAACTTGCTTTTCTGTCAATCCTATTGATCCAGCGATATCTGCTTTCATTTCCTCAGAGGGATATTTGTGTTCTGGGAAAAAGTAAGAATTGTTTCTATAGTCATTTCTGGTAAGAACACAAGTAATTAGCCTGTATAATGCAAGATGAGATATGACAAGAAAAGCCTCCATACCATTATAAAACTTCTCTAAAGCCTCAACCTGGGATGGTGTCTTGAACCTTCTTTTCTTGCTTTTGTCTGGAAGAGCTTTGTCATCTTCAGAATGCATGTCACATGACTCTAAAATATTAAGAACATATGTAGTAGTTAGTATTAAAAAAAATGCCACTGGCTGCCATAAATATAAATCTATTGAGAAATGTTTCTAATCTCAGTAGCTTCAAAGTTAACTAATTGAAGCTGTATTATATTACAAATAAATATAAATACATTCCAAACATCATTTATTTTTTTCATGGGAAGAGCTTTATTGTCTTCAGGATTTACAATGTACTTCACATGACTCAAAACTTTAATAAAAGGATATATGTATGTAACAGTTACTTCCAGAAACAGCAGCTATGGTAGTATAACTAGAAATATTTCTAATTCCATCAGCCACATGCTTGACGAACTAGGTGTCCACATTAAGTGTGGGTGTGTGTTGAGGTACTGAATTCATCTCTAGTATACAACCTTGCACTCAATTGAAACTAAGGAATTATAAATATGTGAAGTGAAAAAGCTTTGAAAAAGTAAATTCAAAGACGCGCGAAAAAATCAGAATTAGAAGATTTAATCTATCGCATGCTGGAACCTCGTTAGTTTTAATTTTATTCTCAGTTGCACCCAATTCCCATCCTATGTTTATTTTCAGGTTAGCCCTGCTGGTTTGTTATATATATGTTCTTAAAAATTTTAGGAACAATACCAGTGTGTTCAAGAAATAAAAACAGTGGAAATTAACAGGGATATACAACCAAAAAAGGTCACCTCATTTCTATATATTCCACAATCTCCCACCTATTTTGCACTGTCATGGTTGAGACAAAACAAGACACAACATGGTAAATTCCTAACTATGACATGGGCATGCCATGCATATGTATGTATGTATGTATGTATGTATGTATGTGTGAATATATACATAAAATGTGACAAGAATTATAAAATAAAAAATCCATGGATATATACATTTATAGACGTAAGGATGCTGGTTGTTCTTCTCCTACAACTCAAGTTCCCCTGATAAAACTTTCATGTATCTTGTCTTTGCTAAACAGGTTTAAATTCTTAACAAATTCCATATAATTTATAAACCTTTAATTTGATTATTTTATATTCATTTAAATAAATAAATCCAATGCATATTCAAGGTCTACACATATTTAGGTAGAATCGGCAAGATTGTCTTCCAAGGTGTGCCGGTGCTTAGATATATGTCCGAAATGGAAGCAGCTCTTGAATCAAAAAAAAAGAAAAGAAACGGAAGTAGCTCATTCTTCAAGGTGTCCATACTTCTGAAGACTCAAATGCACCTGGGGGAAGCAAGTCAAATTCAACACCAAGCAGTGGGAAAAACAACAATCGACAAAAACTTGGACTCCCTCATCCCTCAACTACATATTCTCTGCAGACACACTTCATGGTTTTAGAAGAAAATGCACTGGAACCAGCTTGATGCACCAAACTGGGGGGAAAATTAGGAATTTCAGATCCTTGGTCTAATGTATGTAAACCAGTAATTCTTTATGAGGGAGCACAGACACCTCTCCCAAACCAACGTATCAGTGCTGGGCACGTTCTGGACAAGTGAAAAGTTGCCCAAAATTATTTTTGAATTACGGACACGTTGGGGCAGGCTGAGACACTAGGGGACACGTTCTGGATATGATGAGGGACACTTTAAGGACACACTGAACTTTCAGGACACTATGAAGAAAAAAATTGAAGAAAACTAAATAAACACTTAAAAAGAAAAGAATATAAGAAGAATAAACTAAAGAAGATACCACCTAACAACCATTATTATTATATCCAAAAAAGTAAAATATTGAGAACTAGGAAGGCGAAAGAGAGGAAACTAGAAATGTTATCTCGCTTGTCCATAACGTTTTGTGTAATTGTAGACTAATTTTAAGACAGACAATCTTTCTTTTGATTAAATATGTAAAAATGATGGAATTATGAAATATGCCGATAAACAAATATGGAATTTTGAATGATGATTAAATTTAAATGAATAATGTCACGAATACTTAGTTCTTGAATTTTATTTAGTTATTTTGTTGTTTTGATATCTTGATAATATTAGTGTTATTTGTTTGCCTTTTATCCCTATTCGAATTAAATAATCTTAGTTTTTATATGGATTTATAATATATAAATATATATATACAAAAAATTATTTCAATGTATCCCCTACATGTGCGTCCCCTAAGGAAGCTTAAAGTAACTAAGCCTCATACTTTGTTCTCGGAAAGGAACTTCTGCATGAGTCTTAGATAAATCCATTATATGTAAAATAAAAAACAGCTTGATGACTTTGTCGAACTGACTTGGCAATATATATATACATATATATATATATAGAGAGAGAGAGAGAGAGAAACAACTGACTCAAATAGCAAAAAAAACACATATAGTGCATGGGATTCCCCTAAATACCTATAAATGATCAAAGAAAAAGTGAAATATTTGATAGGGTCCTGTTGCAGAATGTGGAAAGCAAGAAAAATTCAAACTTTACGACTCCAGAACATCAACAACACGGTGTCATTTACAACCGAGGAATTGACTAAATATGCCAATGATGTCAAATGTATCATGTGAATCTTGAGAAAGAGAACATAGGGATTGTTGTCATTTAGGTGCTACCACTATTAATGACGGAAATCTTGTCAAGCGCACATGAGCTATTGTGGAGCTTGTTGATCCAAACCTACTCTTGACGAAAAACAACTCACACACAATCTCTTTCCAAATAAGATCAATACAGCAAGTACTGCACTCATATTTATTGGATTTGTAGCTAAAATATTGGTAATAAAACCAAAACTACTAGTAAAACTCGTTAATTGATAACTTTTAGGTCATTAATAAAGCAGTGTAATAGAGCATCAATGCTGATATGTCCATAATTAGATAAATTTGTACGTAGAATGTTCTCAAATGTCATCAATTGAAAGAATGTTGACCAATTATTACCAAATGTAAATGTAAGTGTAAGAGACAACAGATGCCCTCTACTTCTCTGAAAAATCACCATTAACAGATAATACATAGAAGGTCAACTATGGGCTTTACTCAAATACGTCGAAATAATTCAGCAGTTAACTGTAACTGTAACCATATAAAAGTAGTTCCAAGAAGAACTAAATTGCCACAAATAATAATTTTGGGCCCAAAATCATATAAAAAACTTCTAGAGGGAGAGAACCCGCTGATACGCTTTCATTTTAAACTTTTCCTAAAATAAATTGAAAGCACAACTTGTACCGATTGTTTGACACCCATGACTTCTAGCTCTTTTATCCACGTGAGAGATAAACCAACCTTGAATCCTTACTTTTTAAGCATTGTCTCCCTCACGTTTGAGTTAGAAATGGGCTAATCCAAGAAATTTGTAGAAATATAGTTACATATGTAACTGCAATATAAAACCAAGCCTCGAAAGAAGTAAAGCTCCTTCTTCCCCTTCAATAACTCGAGAAATCACGGGAACAACAAAATTATCAAAATTTTAATGGTAAGGATACCAAAAGAAAGGAAAGAATACGATCAACGATTTTCAACATTAATGTTATAAAAACCAAATCATGTCCATTAATATATAAACATCTTTGAAGGATAACAAATAATGTAACAGTTTCTGCAATAAAGAAGGTTTTGTGAGGGAAATCCAGTTCAATGGAGAAAAATTAACCAATTTACCAATGCAACTCATCATCCAACCCATCTCCTTGAAGTCCCTTCTGTTCCATCCACTTGTTTAGTAATAAAAATCTCATGAACAAGAAGATAAATAGTACTTTTGTTTGCACACACTTGCACAGAATAATGATATGGGGGACACACCCTCCCGGGCCAAACTATAGAAATCTAATCCAACAAAGTACCCCTTCACTAATATAGGAAAATACTAGATGGTATCCTCATGATAGAACACTTGAAGATTAGAGGAAGATCACATGTAGTAAACGGGAAGACTTGTTGAAATATTAATTACCTGTTAGTTCACAATTGAATACCTAGTCATAGACACTATCAAGTTCATTCCGTTATTTCACATTTTAGTTAACCAAATAAAAACTTTCCCTATTCCCATAATATATCTATCAGATTACGTGGTTCAAAAGTAATGTCCACATACTCAACCACCATCTCATACTCATAAGCCCGGGAATAGGCTATCTTCCATATATGTATTTAAGGTATACATGGGAATAGGCTTTCCATTTTTTTATTTTTTTATTTATTTTTTTCGTTTAGTTAACCATGTTAACTACTGCTGTTTAGAGCATTTAACTCCTTTAAGGTTAGGTTTTGCCTCTTTCAAACCAATCATACCATACCCTAATAATCCAATTTTTAGAATTTCGACAGCGACACAAACAAGGTAACATTCTCACAACTTCACATTCAATAGAATCTATTGCTTCATTTAATGAAATATAAATTAAAAAACCCTACAAAAATCATAAAGTTCATTTAAGCATTGTGCTTAACCATATAGAGGGCAACAAACAATCCCATTGCAGGTAACTCAACTCTGCGAGAAAATCAAAAAAAAAAAATCATAAAAGCAATCTTGTCACACATCAATCATGCATCATCAGCAACAAATATTCTTTTTTTTTTTTTTTTTTTTTTTTTTTTTTTTTTTTTTTTTAGATTAACATTTCAGTATAAAAAAACACAGATGTAATAAATTGAAGGCTAAATAAAATGGGATTAGAAAACAGATCGGTTAATTCCATCCAACATAGACATCGTAATGGGTAACAATTGACAAATGCATCATCAACCCATGAAAATTATAAGCAAATAACAAATAATAAAAAAAAAAAAAACCCAAATTCAAAGACAACCATCCAAAGGATTTGCCTTTACAAGAGGGAAAACGTCAACAATACCTTCCATAATAATTCAAAGATTTCTAGGGTTTTTCCCTTTCTTTTTAATTATGGGTTTTCTCAATTGACTCAACAAGCCAACCCCAATAGGCGGAGAATGCAAGAATGGCCACGCCTGTTAAGAGGAAGAAAAGAGAAGAGTCTGGTCTGTAGATGCATGAGTTTTGTGTTCATGTAAATCTCTGAATTGGCTTACCATCATCAACAGAGGAGAGAGAGAGAGAGAGTTTTGGGGTGAAGGTAGAGAATAGGAAGGGTAGATAAATTTTCTCTTTTTTTTTTTGTTTGGGGGGGGGGGTGAAATTACACTGACACTCTTGGAATTTAATCCAATTATATTTTATCTTAATGTTTTTAAAATTACATTTCTATTTTTTTTTTTTAATAGTCCCATTTCATAAATTTCTATTTATATAAATACAATAATTTCTAATAAAAAAATAGATAAGATTACATTGAAAAAAAAAATAAAGAAAATACAGTAAAGTATGAAAAGAGATAGTGTATGAATTTAATGTTTTCATTCTATCTAAACAATTATAATGATAGGAGGGTTAATATAATTTTTTAAACATCAATGAATGATATGTATTAAATTTAAAACTCAGGGGGTGTAAGTGTAATTTATCTTCTTTTTTTTTTTTGGTTTTTGTTTTTGTAAGGCAAATAGGGTAAAATAGTCTTTTGTTCATTTATCCTATCCAGTCCGTCCAACCAAACGTTGGATTCACTGAAAATAGTCCTATCCAGACATCTAGTCCCATGAAAAAACAAACACAGGATACATATCCAATCCGACCAAATAGTCCGGGGGATTCACAGTCCCAGGACTCAAGTCCGATGGATTCTAATCCCCCCTTTTCCAGTTCGTCCAATCAAACACACCCATAGTGTATGAATTTAATGTTTTCATTCTATCTAAATAATTATAATGATAGGAGGGTTAGTATAATTTTTTAAACATCAATGAATGATATGTATTAAATTTAAAACTCAGGGGGTGTAAGTGTAATTTATCTTCTTTTTTTTTTTTTGGTTTTTGTTTTTGTAAGGCAAATTGTTTTCGAGAAATTATATTTCCACACATCACGTTGTCTCTGTGCACATCATTTCTTACTCCATTCACTTAGTAATTTGATTCTTAGACATTTATCTCAGCCCATACACCCCACATTCCAAATATACCCATTTAATAAAAAAAATGTGTGCACACTCTCATATTAACCCACACAAATATGCATGGTCATCGTGTTGCAGGACCTGCCATGATTGATGACCCTGTACCTGATTTGTTGTAAATTGACTAGTGTAGTCCAATACACAATCAGATTGAACCTCACTTGCTTGAGTGGATACTTTCTGCAACCAAAAAAAAAAAAAAGTTCGGAACTTCAAAGCCAAATATTTTAACATATTTCGGAAGTTAGAATTCGAATGATTTAATTTATTTCGAAAGTTAAGTTCCAAATGGTTTAATATATTTCAGGAGTTGAGTTCCAAATTATATTTCGAAAGTTGAGTTCCGAAGAAATTAATTTTGTTCGATTGTTGTTTTTCATATATTGTCTATGTATTCAGCTCTAGTTTGCTGAATGATGATCGCAAACAGAAATTACGTAAAACAATTTCTTAGCAAAAAAAGTTACATTTACGTCACTACATTAGTTTTGCATATCCTCTTGATTTTCTGAATTGTTTGGCAAATCTTTCATCAAGTTTTGTTTGACAAATAATGGTAACCTAATGAGTGAACAATGGAAAAATGTTAGCAATAGAGTCTAATGTGTGATAAATAATAAAGGAAGAAGGTAGGCAATGAAGTGTGTAAGAAAGAATAAATGAAGAAGGTAGGAAACAAAATGTGAAAAAGAGTGGAGGAAGAAGGTAGCAATGGAGAGTGTGAAAAAGATTGAAGTAAAGTGTTATTTGAATTATTAATGGAGAGTGTGAAAAAGAGTGAAGTGGAAAATTATAAATACATCCACATCAAAAAAAAAATATTTAACAGAATTAATTGAAAAAGTGAAATTTCTAATTATTATAATAATAAAATTATATGAATTATTAATTGAAATAAAATTTTAACATTATTAAAAACTGTTAATTAATTTGATGATTTATTAATAAAATGGCCTATTTGTTATAAAATTAAAAACCTGAGGGGGTATAATGTAATTTCTAGAACTACAAGGGTAATTTCTAGAACACACCCCCTGGAAGCCCAACGTCAGAAGCCCATTTAATTAATGTTTCACTACTACGAAAAATATAAAAATAATAAGTACATTTATATGTCAAATTATTAATAAAACTCAATACAAATTAAAAATAAGAAAAAATCGTATTCATAAAAAAAAACTTAACAAACTTCGTTTGTAATAAATGCATGACTAGAGTCCACTAATATTGCAGTACTTGCGTTGTTGCAATGAGTATGAGTATAAGTATAATCCTTCCAGGCAAAAAAATAAAAAATATATTAAAAAAAAATTGAAAATACATGATAATGAGAAGCTGAACAAATTTAAAAAATTCAGTTTGTGGTTACCGAAAATGTATCTTTTATTCGGTAGTTAGTTACCAAATTTATATTTTTGTTCGGCAATGTAATGCCGAACTATTTTATTTTGTTCGATTTCAAACCCCCGAATGAAAGTCGAGCACTAGTTCAGAAAAAACAAAACAAAAACCTACCTAATAAAAAAAAAAAACTCACAATTTCACTTTTTTAATGGTTCTTTACCACCGTTTCTTCATCTATTGCTTTCTTTAATGATCAAAATATTATGATTCTCACTTTTTGAAAAGAAATGTGTAAGAGAAAAGAAAATGTAAGAAAGGAAAAAGAAGAGAAGGGATTGAAGATTAAGAGGTGTAAGGAGATAACAAAATATATTTAATTTTAGTATTTTGTCCTTAAAGGTAATTTCGCACATGGATAAAATTTGAGGAAAAAAAAAACTTATATGGGGGATGTCAAAAGGTAAAGTAGTGGTGTAAGTAGAATCACCCATTATATAATAGAGAACTGTAAATCAAAGTATAAAACATGCAGCGGAATAAAATGTTTAGATCATACCTTTTTTGATGATAGAACCTCGTGGATAAATCACGTGCTTCCAGACAGTGCAAATGGCTTTGATCGTTATTTTGGGAGAGAGTCAGTATCTTGGAAAAAAAACAAACATACATTGTTTTTCCACTTAATCACCCATATCCCATATATCAGATATATAATCTATTTATCTCATTTATCCATTGGTTAAATGAGATAATATCTGATATCTATATCATCTATCCATATCATGATATGATAGATATATATCTGAGTGGCTATCCAAATAGGTTTGAATTCAAATTCAAAACTCATTTAGATGAGGTTCAAAAGGTTCTAAGGGTCATGCCACATGGACGCCCAATTTCTAACAACAACTCCATGGTACACGTAATCATAAGACATGAGAAGTTATTAGATTTTGTATTGATAATTATCAACTATATTAGAGCACCTATAATGGTATTTTCAAAAGAGATTTGCTGTTTTATATTTTTGAATAGGTTTGTTACTACATTAGTTTTTTAACAAAAAATTTCAAAATTAGTTATATTTGGAGAGCTTGTAGAGGCCCTTTAAATAATTTGTATAAATAAATAGGTCAAATAAAGAGTAACGATGAAGCACATAAAAAAAAATATAAAATAAATAAAAGTCAAGGAAAATAAAACGCATTCAAAAGATAGCTAAAAACTAATAAAAACATAAATTAGCCTTGGAGTTTCTATTAAGGCCTCGTTTGGAAAGCGATCGATTTAATCAAAAAAGTCAAAAAATTATTAAAAAAGTTAAAAAGCGAACAATTCATACTAAAAAGTCAAATATTCTCTTATCTCTCTACTTTTTGTACATCTTTTCGTAAAAAATCAAAAAAATTATCCCAAACATATTCTTGTTTGGTTTGTATTTGAGAAACATGTTTTGAGATAAAATGTACGAAAATTTGTTTGGTTTGGTTTTTTTTCAAAAGATGTTTTGAAAAATTATTTTGAGAAAAAATTTTGGAAAAAGTGATTGATTTGATGTGTATGAGAGAGAGATTTGTTTGGAAAATTTGTAAACCAAACAAGTTTTGGAAAAAAATTTTGAGAAAATTTGTTTGGTTTGATTACTTTTGAAAACTTATTTGTAGATAATTTTTTCCAAAATTTTTTGAGAAACACAAACCAAACAAGGCCTAATTAGTTTTTTTTAGCTCATATTTTAGCTAAATAGTCAAAAAATTACTAAATTAGTCTGTTCCCAAACAAGGCCTAAAAGTATAGTCAAGAAAACATATTGGATTTTGTGATTTTATTATAAATATTGTGATTTTTTTTGTTAGAAACGTTTTTTTGAATAAAATTATGTTATTTTGTGGTGTTTATTGTTATGATTTTTATAGTGTTAATTACTAATTGTTATAGTTTAATTACAAATATATATATATATATATATATGCAACTTTTTAAAGGTGTGTGTTAGTAATTTTTTCCTCCGTAATAATCTTTATCGTGAATTTAAGGTTTTACATGTGGATTGATTGGTAATAAGTCCAGAGGGATATGACATTTAATTCAATGATTAATCTTTTATAGAGATAATGATATGATTAATGAAATTACTTGGTTAAAAGATAAACTATTGTTGTGAAGGAATTTTATCTTTAATTTTAATTTATCATTGTCAATGCCAAAAAAGTCGTCAAAAAAATAGTTGGCAAAGTTTTTAGTGGTGGCCAATAGTCATGACTAGTAGTGTTATATGGATAGATAGATAAAGTACGTGGATATATAGGTGATGCATGGAGAAATAAGGAATGATACGCAGACAGATAGATAATGCTTGGACAAATAGATACATGGACTGATAGGTAGCCAGTGGATGAATAGATGGATAAATGAATGTAATATATCCTTTTGCTCCAGAAGAATGTGTCTTGTTTACCCCAAAATTTTTGAAATTGAACTTAGGGAGTATTTAGATCATATATTAGGTAGAAATTTGGAAATGAAAATGAAAAATAAAAAATATGTGAAATATAATTATATTTTATTCAGATTTTATATATATTTTTTCATAACATGTTATGTGTTAACTTTTGATTTATGACAAACTGAATCATGAATTGTGGGTTTAAATTATGGCTTCACCCTTATCCTTTGTATCTGTTTTTTAAACTGTGGACTTGCTTTGAAGCTATTCGATGGGCGTCCAAAATGGGTGGATTCAAATTGCGACGGACTATTTGGCC